AAACACTCAGCAAAATCTCACGATATCTTGCATACCCAAATTGGATGAATTTAGCGGTCTCGTTTAGATTTCACTGTAACTTAATGAGATAATCCTGTGGGTTGTAAGCCCTTTCTTAGCAGCCTCCAGGCTTTCTTCTCTGAAAAATTGTTGGCACAGGTTCTCACCATTTCATGGCAGGAAATACACAAAAATTAGTGTAGGTCCAAAACAGGTTTAATGTTGGTTCAGCAAACATTCTACCTGGAAAAACAAAGGGAAAAACATCCCTAACTTCTTCATATCATTGGCCTACCAACGATGACCTTTACATCTATATACATCTTGTCTTTCAGGTTATGGTTATTAGGCTCTTGAAGATGTATATATGTGTGTGTGTGTGTATAGACACAAATTTTACTTTGAGATAAAGTTTAATATTTTTGGACATCCATATTCTGTTGAATTACATACCTTTGACATGGAAAGTTACAGTTTGATACCAGAAGTGGGTTCTCTGTGCTATTCTTGCTGGTAAGAGACTTGTCCTTCAAACTGGAAAGTTAAATGTATGGCCCCAGTTCCTCAGTTCTTGTGAATAAGCTGGTCACAGGCATAGATTAGGAGGCTTTGGTCCGCCCCCTCCTCAAGAAACCACCACTAGATCCCACCCTTCTGGACAATTTTTGTCCAGTCTCCCACCTTCCCTTTCTAGGAAAGGTGGTGGAAAAGGTGGTTGCGCGGCAGCTTCAGAGGATCCTGGAGGAAACAGATTATCTGGACCCCTATCAGTCAGAGTTCAGGCCCAGTTATGGGACAGAAACAGCATTGGTCGCACTTTTGGATGATCTCTGGTGAGAGCGGGATGAAGGTAGTGCATCCATCCTTGCTCTTCTTGACTTCTCGGCGGCTTTCAATACCATCGACTATGGTATCCTTTTGGGTCGCCTGCAGGAGTTGGGGTTGGGTGGCACAGTGTTGTGCTGGTTCAGCTCCTTTCTCCAAGGCTGAACCCAATCGATGTTGATAGGGAGCGAGAGGTCCAACCCACAGACCCTACTCTGTGACGTGCCTCAGGGTTTGGTGCTTTCGCCACTCCTATTTAACATCTACATGAAACCATTGGGTGAGATCATCCG